CTTCTTGCCTTTGCTTTTCCACTTCTCCTAGTCTGGTCTCTTCTTCCTTTTTCAGCCCCTTTCTTTCTGCTTCGTAGGGTTGCGACGGCCGGTAATGTTACCGGTAACGTTATCGGAAAATTGGTAATTTACGGTAATTTATCAAAAGCTTGGTAACGTTGAAAAAAACGGTAATAATACCCCTACAAAGTGAGTTAAAAACTCACTTTTCAAAAGCAAAAGTCACATTTGAAATAGTAATTATGACATATTATCACTTTTTTAGTCACTTTTTGGAGACCGGATAGCAAATTTGTCATTACTCTAAGGCATAGCTTTAGATAACAACTTTTATAGGTGTACTTCTGGTAACTCTGTATACAACTGATGTTGATGAGAACAAAATGTAAAACACAACGATTCCAATAAGCTAAGACCAGCTATTCCGTCACTTTTTAGGCAGTACACACGAATTTCGATCGCTAAGAAATAGTATATCGCCAATTTTTCTGCTTCAAATTGAATTTTTCAAATTTTTCCAAAATTTCCGGTGAATTACGATTTTTACAGTAATTTACGGTAACATTGATTGTTACCGGTAATTTCGCAACCCTACATTGCTTCGTCCCTTCCTAATCTCTTCTGTTCTTCTTCTTGCCTTTTCTTTTCCACTTCTGCTAGTCTGGTCTCTTCTTCCTTTTTCAGCCCCTTTCTTTCTGCTTCGTCCCTTCCTAACCTCTTCAGTTCTTCTTCTTGCATTTTCTGTTCCACTTCTACCAATCTGATTTCTGCTTCCTTTTCCGACCTCGGCTTGCTTTCTGTTCCTTGCTCGCTTGACCGTTCTGCTCTCCACATCAACCGTCAATAAAAAGTACTGTAAAAACTAAGCTTCTCACACTCTAGTTCCTTTTACAGGTGAATGCTATAAGAGGTCTGCCCGTGAACTACCGTTAACCGGCCTACCACCACCACTTCGCAGATTTTTCAAAATTACCTTCCTGTCTGCTTAGCTTCCTGCTTCTTTCATACACAACTCACTAATTATAAACAAGTAGTCATCGCTGAGATTAACTCAAATTTTGTTTGCATCCAACTTTCAGATTAATTTCTTTTACTTTTACATAAAACTAAGTTCACCAAGCACACGCTGATGACAAATATACTAAAAAAAAACTAAAAAAAACTTGTAACAGTTACACTGTCTTTTCCGAAATACTGACACACTAAACAAATAATATAAATAACAAACAAAGGTTACCTATATTCACTAATAAAATAGTAGGACATACACATACTATAAACAGTACTGACTGTGAAAAAAGCTGGTCTTCGACACTTAAAGAAACAGTGACCTCGCACTCATCAGCATACACTCGCAGACGAATTGTCCTGGGAAAACGTGAGAATACCGGATGCCTCCTGAAAAGAGCACCGATTGAAACATACGTTGTAATAATCCAAATAAATAAATATCTTGAATATCTTAAAACTTAACACAACCGATGGTTCTCCAACTCGCATTATACACCGTACACGGGTCGCACAATACCTTTATAATACTCCATAATATGTCGCAAAATGCCTAAAAAAACCATAATACCTTAGAATATCTCATAATCCTATCTAAATACTTCATAATAACCAGGGAGTAGGAGGGGAGAGAAAACGACCAGGCCGGCAGCAGTCGGGGGCCGGCACGGGTGGCAGCGCGCGGCGGCGAGCCGAGCGCGCGAGCTGCGCAGCCGAAGCAGGCCCGACGCCGAGCGGTGGCGAGCCAGCGGCCGGGCGGAGCTGAGCGTGGCGTGTGTTGTCATTTTGAAATCAAGATTGTTCCATCAAATCGTAAGTAAAAGAGGATAACATGCATACGGCTCTATTCAGAAAAGAACAAGGAATCTATCGCTCATCGTGTTTTTGATCGGCGACTAATCGTTTCAGAGTTTTTAGCGTGCTCCCAGACAAATGTGGGCGTTTTCCCCGGGCACGGCGGTTCCCTTGCGTTATCGAACACCCAAAACCAGACTGCCTACCCGTGGTCTCTGGTTTCGCCTACGCGGTGGCTCTTCTGCTTCCCCTAATCCACCGAAAGGTATGCCGGGTAAACCGCCGCATTGCCCGGCCAGGACTGTTTGATCATCTCTTAAAAGAAAAAACAGAAAAAAAAGCACCATTATGAGTACATGCTGGGTTTGGCGTAGAGAGTCTCGGTACGGAGCGACCAGTCCTACTCTGCGTCAACACAGGTACTGACAATTTGGCCGCTAGCGACTTAAAATGTAAACTTCCCTGGAGCGCGGCGCTGGCTTTCCGTGGGCCGGGGGGCGGGGAGGGGCGGGGAACTCCGAAACTTTGAAAAGCCGTTCAAATGTGTCGTCTGCTGCAAGAGATTCAGGCAACAGAGTGCACCTGGCGCTCAGCTAATGTCTTTTTGCATACACCGCACTCGAAAGGCTTCTCCCCTACGGCGCTCTTCGTGCATGAATGTCTTGTTGCAAACGGTGCACTCGAAGGGCAGGGGGTGGGCAACAAGTGCTATGTATGTGCTCCTCTGCAAATTGTACACTTCAATATGCTGTTGATTTTCCCATGCGCATCCACCTCCGAAGTTCTCGAAGTCCAAGTCTGACACATTTCTAGGGGCTTAAGGAGGCGTAAGCAGCTAATCTCTGCTCCCGTCTTCAGGATTTCTTTCTACAGAACCTTCAGAGGAACCTCCACCCTGTAAATGCAACGACATAAGAACTCAGTGCAAAGCATTCATAGGTCTCACATGTCATGTGAGTCCCATGGAGCTAGAATGCGCAGTCAAGTCCACAGGTGTCACATGTGAGGCCTCGTATATGGCCCCTCTAAGAAACTGTCACTTTCAAATACTATAAGGATAATTAAAGTAATTCACTCACAGGATTAATTTTGCTGGTCGACTTCAGGAGGCTTGGCTGCAACAGTTGAGTCAGAAATATTTCGCATTTTATCCATTTCAACTTGCATCATTTGAGCTTGAGCAACCAACTCTCGCTCCTTTGACCGGAATTTCCTGCTCGTTGCTAGGGACTCAATTTCGCCCAAATTCTGATTCACTCCACTCTGGTTCAAAATGTCAGCAATGCTAATCTCCTAGCTGCTAATAAGGTCATTTCTGTAAGGAGGAAAATAAATTTTTAGTCAGACACTTGGGCATTCCCTATCCTAACCTCCAAATTCAGAAAACACAAAGTACTTACAATGATGAGACAATGTCGGGACAATGTTTTATGTTTACAAGCAACTAAAATAATTTAAAGAAATATGTACCTTACGTCTTTACTGTGTTTCTGAACTGCACCATTACTTTCCATTTCATTATTAAATTTATTGCTTTCTTTCTTAACAGAATTTCTTCTTCTATTTCTTCAAATTAAAAGAAATTTCAATTCCAATTAAGTCTACCAAGTATAGTACTAAAAAATCACAGGTCTAGTTTATGTACACATAACAGAAGCAAGAGAAGTGCATTCCAATACACGTTCATAATAATTCCTGCTCACACCACCAACACTCCCATCAAATGAACATCCAATTCGATATACTATTTCCGAAATTCCTATTGAGTGCCCATCAAAGGGTGCAAATACACGTGCATCCAATCCAAAAGAATTCAGTTCTTTTTCATAATATACTCGACCAGAGACATTAAGGGGACAGTAGCACTTCGAGACGGATTTTAACAAATTTCAGGTGATTCATTTGTCTAAAATTCGAATTTCTTATCGGAAATTGTTTATCGTAGTTCATTCTAAGGAGTTTGATGTACTAAAAAAGAAAAACTACACTTTATCATGGTCTGACAAAAACTGTTGATTAAATCGTGCGCGCAAGCTATCTTAAAAACTTTCCCGCTTGCGCGCACGATTTAATCTGTAAAACTTGTCAGATCGTGATGAAGTGTGTTTTTTCTTCTTTTTTAGTACATCAAACTCCTTAGAATGAACTACGATAAACAATTTCTGTTAAAAAATACGAATTTTAGACCATTAAATCACTTCGACGCGTCCTAACAACAATGTTCTATCCGCAGCGTGCGGATTACACAATGTTCTATCTGCAGGGTGCTGAATACACAATGTTTTATCTGCAAAACGGGGTTAGGCGCAGCCCTTCACCTTTGTGTGGTTTGTAAGTAACTGGAAGACATTAAGGCCAATCTGAGCGCACGGAAAGAACCATAAAGATCCAAGGGTTAATTATTGAATGCAAAAAGTGAAGTAAAACGAGCGGTTACGGAGTAATAAGCATTCCTTTGGAGGTGTCCCGAAACCTGCGTTTTGCAGATAGAGCATTGTGTAATCCGCACGCTGCAGATAGAACACTGTGTAATCCGCACGCTGCAGATAGAACACTGTGTATTCAGCACTCTGCAGATAGAACATTGTGTAGTCCGCACGCTGCAGGTAGAACATTGTTGTTAGGACGCGTCGACTTGAAATTTGTCAAAATCCGTCTCGAAGTGCTACTGCCCCCTTAAACACACTGCACAAAGCAGACAAAGTTGAATCATTGCCTTAAACTCTCTCATTCAGCACAGAAGTTCGAATACAGTTAATCACCTCTTCAAAGGCCTTCAAAGGCTTCACTTCGCCATTTATAATAAATTTTTAAAAAACTTTGAAGAATCGGCCAGACACTGTACACACAACACCTGTTGCTATTTAATTACAGGTTAATAGTAAGGCATGTAAATTTTACAATTTCCAATTGTAATTATACAATATATTCAATCGAAAATGTTTGCAAATTCCTACAAATACTTCTACCATGTTAATAACTGAAACGTAAATTCTTAAAAAAGCTAAGGCCCTATCATCTGCTTCCACGTTGGCGCAAGCCTAGGTTTTTCTTCTGTAAGTCCCACGTGACAAATTATTCAGTATGATCAAAATCGCATGTAAGAGGGATCGCGCTTGAGACCTGACGAGATGACGGAGGAAGCGTATCATTGTGATGTGATATAAAATCTAAAATTCTCTTTATCCATGTTTTAGGTTAGTAGGTATTGCGGTGAAAAACGCGGCGATGGCACCATCAAAATCCAACACCATAGGACCTTTAGAGCATGTCTTGAGTCTGTGGGCTCGAGAACTAGTAGAAGATGCGGTTAGTCCGGGTTACCGCCTTCTGCGAACTCTTCGCGGTTCCTGGGTGAGTTCTACGCCAGACGCAGGTTCAAAGACGCTACGAAAAGTAATCGTAAGAAAAGTGCAGGGATAACTGAAGAAGACGAAAGATAGTACTCCGTAGACTCGTAGCTTATGTTAAAGCTGCTTCCTTCCATTGCAATAAACAAGGTACGCCCCACGTCTAACGTAACAGGCTTCGCGATATCTCACGAAACACTGTTGCGATGTGACGCGCCTAGCATACATCGACCTTGTTTTGCGGCGCTGACGACACCCGAGTCGAGTAGTAGGAAAATGTACGCAAAGATACAGCTAAGCATCCCAGTCAACTAAGCAGCTCCCATTTACTTTCGGGAGGCATTGGGGATGATCCTATGCGAATCCTTCACACGTACTTCAGAGACAACGCGGAGACACTGTGGAATCCTCGAAAAAAAAAAAAAAAAGATTGTACCCATATGACGGAATTTTGAATCTTCAGCTTCCCACCGCAACTCGCTACCCATATGACGGAATTTTGAATCTTCAGCTTCTCGCCGCAACTCGCTTCGGTGATCGACCTCTGAGGCGATATTTCGGTCAACCGGACCCGGTGGGAGATGAACCACCGATTGTGTTTTCCAAGCTCCGGTACGGAGTCCACTGGGCCAGAGCGATCCCTTGGAAGACACTACAATATACACGAACGACAACTCAGTCGCGACGATGCACTCGATTCTAAGACCAGTTAACTGGAAGATATTTTGGTACGAGTGCATTTTTTGGCTTGTTATAAGGTCTTGAAGTTTTGAATTGAGTTCTTACAGAAAAAATTCCAAACAGTGATTTTTTTTAATTTTAAGCTTTCAAAGAAATTTTGGGGGGACAAATTCATTTGGGAATGCAAAGTTCATGGAAAAAACGAATGGAAAAAACCCAATGATATGCCACACGGTCTGTTCCTTCCCGAAAGTCAGCATATACGCGGTGTCAAAAGAGCTAACTTCCCGCTAATTACAACAAAATCACAGTCCTGCAGCTGCGGATCTTAGCTGACAAATATAACGTATGGCACATATCCGGATTTGTTTTTTCGTGCACATTGCATTCTCAAATGGATTTGTCTCCCAACACTTCCTTTGAAAGCTTGAAATTTTTTTAAAAAATAACTTTTTTGCATTTTTCCCAGAAGAACTCCATTTAAAACATTAAGGCCTTATAACATATCAAAGATGCACTCAGATTCACAAGCACTCAAAATTTTTGTTTTGTGAACTGGTCTTAGATTTTCGCGTTGAACACTTTGTCAACTGAGCCAACATCGATTTCGACAAAGTGTGCTTACGCTCCCCCTTTGGCCTTAGTAGCTATTGCAGTTAGCGCGCTCTGCCGTATTCCCACCAGTCGCGTCTGTGGCGCAAAGGTCTTCGTGCCTGGCGGCTGGATAGTAAGTGGAGGGTCGATTCCGGTCGGCGCCCAACCAGTTTTTCCTTGCACGGCGTCTTCTGACTCCGTTCAAACTTAACATGAAGCGAGAAAATGGACTGTTGATACATAAGAGGTTACGGAAAAGGGATACCACTCTTTATGTCATTTTATCCGATGATGGAGACTTGCTGATTTGTGCGCTGAGACAGTATCTGTTCCCTATGGATCGCTCTGGCCCAGTTGATACGCGGGGGCTTAATCTTTGAGGTAAAGGGAAAACTTTGAGGTCCTCCAATGATGTGGCGAAGACTTCGCCTCAAAATATGTGGGATTTTTAAACATTTTGTGCTAAGATTCCTCAAAATTTTAGGTGAGATCGGACGACTTTTCCTCAAATACGGGAGTTCTTCAAAGTTTTCCGCTATAAATGAAACGTTTCTTTTACCGCGCGAATGAAAGTAAAATATGGGCGTTTAAGTGTTACGTTTTGTGAATTGAAACGCGAAGTTAAGTCATTCCGTTCCCAGCTGAAAAAAACACGTACAAATCCGCTTGGATTTCCGAAGACTTTCCACGTGTATCAGACAAAATCTTCACTTGGGTATCTACACTAGAGATATAAATTGCTCAGTGAAATTACGAATCAAATTAACATAATTTTAAATTTGCCTCGTTCATTAGGTTTCGGTGATCTGCATCATGGGGCACGCTTCCCTCGTGCTGCGTGACCTGGCGCGCAGCGAGTCGATCGATGAGGTCCAGGTGCTTCTCACCCTGTACATAGGCGCGCACTCCTCCCTGGCAGCTCAGTTGATTCTGTGGCGACGCCGGAACTGCATTAAGATGGCGGTCAGGTTGGCCAGCCACGTCGCCCGTCAGCTGCATCTGCTTTCCAGCGACGCGGTTAGAAAGTCTGCGCGGAATGTTTTTGATCCTATATTCATTTTATACGCCACAATGAACCAATACTAATGCGGTAAGGCTGGAAAAAAGTATTAGCGAGGATGAAAGTCAGGCGATACAGATGTTGCTCATGTTAACATGACCAATTGGTCAGTGCAAAACTGTTAAGAAGGAAAGATTTGTCACAAGGGTTGAGATGAACCATTCGTCACATTGCGACGAACTGTTTGTGACTTGTGATTGTCATGTGCTGGTAAAGGCAGAGCGGTGAGGTGATGGAGACGAACGGACGACTTTGAGAATCAACTGATGAGCTGGTTTATTTGTCTTTCTGCTCTCCCGTATAAACGTCGCTTACAGCCTTGCGCATAACGGTTTGCAGGAGTGACAACATATGTAACAGTGATGGCCTAGACAATCGAGGTTAATGACACGTTTGTCCCATGGCATATGTGCCACAAACTAGGTAGAAAGCTTTGGCTTTGCATGGCTCGGCTCAGTGTGCCATCACGACCCCAATATTATCGATAGTTCTTCTACCATCGGCATATCTCTTTCTCACGGTTTTGGGACAACCTATACATATTTACGCTTTTCCGATTATGTTGTCATGAACTCAACAGTGTACATTCTCTGCTGGTATATCAGCAATCATTGATCACTGATACATCAGTGTTCATGGCATGTACTTCTGCATGTATTTGTCTGAAAACTGAATTCTGTTCATTGCATGCTGATATGTCTGCATACAATATACAATACACTGATGAGTCCTTAGAGAAGACGATCGCCTCGCGCCTTTGTGACGAACCATTCCAGAGTAAAATTGAGGCGTGTCTCTTTCGTTAAGTGATGTCTTAATACTTGACAGTGAAGAACAACAGGACAGTACCGTTAAACAGGCTAATTTAGACCACCGAGGGGCAATGTAGACCACCTTCTTGTCGGCACTATATGACTGCTGATGCCGTTCGTTGACGACTACAATTTACAAGACAGTTCTCGCTATTGATTCGGCTTCCACCTAGGACAGTGCGCCTCAACCAGCAGCGGTAAGAGGGTGGTCCAATCCCCCCCC